AGCCTCGCCAGCATTTGTTGTTTGTTGATTTATTGATGATAGCCATTCTGACCGGGGTGAGGTGGTATCTCATTGTGGTTTTAATTTGCATACGAAACTGCATTTTAAATGGGTGCAGCTTTATTGTAAATAAACTATATCCCAGTAAACTTACAATAAGAAATCATATCCAGGTGTAGCTGAGGCTTCCTTGGTGTGGCTTCTTCCAATCTAAAGCTGTAAACTAAAGGAGTAAGTTATCTGACCACCTCCCCCACCCCGTGCCCCCCCACACACACACACACACACACACACACACACACACACACACACACACACACAAACCTACAGAGCCTACACATAGTGGTGAAAGAGGGATCGGAGAACTTCCATTCAAAAACCAAGGAAAATGGGAGACACATAATGACAATGTGATAGCAATTCTGAAATCTAGCCAGGCATCCAATCCATTGCCTGTTTCTTAGTCAGGACTTAGTGCTGCTTCCTGGGGATGTTCTTCAGGGATCTGGGCTTTTCTCTCTGAATTATCTTTTACCATAAGAAATGATTTGTTTTAAGCTGAGTAGTTTTCATAGCCTGCTTCCTGTTTGTAGGAAGCTGGGGACTCAAATACCTCTTTTCACTTTGAACCCTCTGTCCCTTTCACCGGAAGCTAGTCTGATTCCTTGGTTTTGAGGCTATGTTTGTGGCTTTGCCTTTGTCCTCTGTATACAGCTTCTTAGGAGCCATAGCTTTCAGAAATGATCACCAGATAGATTCCTCTCAAGAGCAAGGAACTCCCTCCCTTCCTCTGATTTCTTGGTGAACTTGACTTTGGGGAACCTGGATTCCCTCCTACTTCCCTAGTCACACTTCCTGCTGTCTCCAATTGTTTCTGGAGCCAGAGCCTGGCTGACCTTCAGTTTCCGTCCTTTTTGTGACATTGCATTTTTGTTCCAGCTAAAAGTGGTGCCATAAGTTGTTCTTTTAGGCTCTTCTCGGATGCAGTCTTAACTGCCGCTGTCACTATTCTATCTTTAATTAATATTCCCCAAGTTTCTGGTTTTTTTTACTCCTTCTGGAATTCATATTTCAGTGTTAGAGATTTTGAACCTATCTTATCTCTTGCGTTTTCATTTATTATATTCGTCCCTTTATTTTTTTCCTTTGTGTTCTTAGAATATTTCTTGAACTAGTTTTCTAATTTGCTGATTTGATTTTATGCTACATTTAATCTGCTGTTCTCTTCCATTATGGTTTTAAAATTTGGTAATCATGTTTTTCATTTGTAAGCACATTTTTATGATCACAGATTGTTCATTTCCATTTTACATCTGAAATGTTCACTGGAATCATATTAAAAACACAAATTAAAAACATATTTGAGGGCTGGCCGAGTGGCGTGATGGTTAAGAGCTGGCTTGGGATGCCAGAGGACCTGGGTTCGGATCCCACATATGAGGGCCAGTGACACTGCCCTCTACAGCTAAGATGCTAAACAACAGCTCAACCTGGAGCTGGGCTGCCGAGAATCGCCTGCGACGGCATAGGCTGCAGCCCCTGTGGCAGTGGGTTGCCATGGGCTACCGTATGTAGCCAGCAGCCAGCGTGAGCGGCCAGCAGCCGCAGTGAGCGGCCGTCCAGAAGCCGGCGACTGATCTGCCTCGCCCAGGAAGAGCGCAATGATGGTGCCAACTTGGGCCAGTGAAGCAACGTCCTCCACAACTAGACTGAAGAACAAAACGACAGCAACTTGTCTGTTCCCCTTCCCCCAATTCCCTAGCGCTGTTCCCATCCCCCAATTCCCCAATAAAAATCTTTTAAAAAAAATACATTTGAGAAGTTTTCTTCATTTTTTTGTATGTAGTAAGATTCTTTGGCAGGAAGACTTTTCATTGATCTTCCTTTAGGCTTTTAAATCTTATCACATGTCTCATTGCTTATCGCTTTATCTTTACAGGGACAAGTCTATGTTTCTCTAGTATTTGGAATCAACTGAGATGCTGAGAGAATGGTTCTGGATTCCTGTTGAAATAATTTAGCATTAGGAAAAAGTGAAAGGGAAAAATCTATATTTCCTATATTTTTACTTCTTAAGAGTTAGAGTAAAAAGGTATTTGCATATCAGGGAATTTTATAACGTGCCAAAGCTTTTCTTGCTGTGTTAGTTTTGGCACCCTGAAATTAATAGGGCCACAGTCCTTCTTTTCTAATTGGTGCAAGTACCATGATCCTGAGCTCACTGTAATCATGTCCCCTGTATAATTGTAGGCTGTCTGTCTGCACACCACGACTTGCCCTTCTGGGTGGCAGGCAGCACCAGTTACCCTTCATGAGCTTTGCCGTCTACCCTCTGCCTCACTGTTCACTTTGACCTCCAGCCCCATCACGGTGACTTTGAGCTGTCTTGGTACCTACTTAGAGTTCCAGTTACTTGTATTTTCAGCTGGAGACCGTTTCAGTCGCAAGAAATGAAATGTCTGTGCCTAATGTCCTGTGTTTCTTGTGCCGGCCAGATTTTAGCAGTGATCCCTCCCTTCTTTAGTTGGCTCCACTGCCTTCACAGGAAGCTGGATTCAGCAATGCCTCTGCTTTGCATGGCCTGCGTAGGAACATGTTCTAGGGGCCACCTAATGAATTCAGTTTTGGACATGTTGAGTTGGAGGTAGGGCTATGCACCTTGTATTTGTAAGGGAGTTGGAGGCCAAGAGAGCAATTTGGGCTGGAGATGTAGATTTGATAAAGCTTTCCTTATTATTTGAAAAACTAACAGTATATTGAATTGTCCAGGGAAAGCATGTAAAAAGGAGATAGCTAAGGTCAGGCACAGAACCCTGGGATTATAGCATGTATGGGATGGGCAGAGAAAGATAAGCGAGTGAAGGTTACCGTGAAGGAGATTTCTTACGGATCGAATGAGAACCTAGGAAGAATGGTCCTACAGAGCTAATGAATGTGGCATCTTTAAAACAGTATGCCTCATGTTTTAATGAGATCAACTAGGGAGAGGGCAGATTACAGCTCTTTTGCTTGAGCAACTAGGAGACCATTGGTGACTTGACTTACAGCACTTTCAAGATGAGTGAAGTCAGATGGTAGTTGATCGAAAAGTATATGGCAGGTTAAGACATGGATCCAGTAACTTATTTGAAATTTTATTGGGACAGGAAAGAGGTAGATTGGTACAGAGGACAGCTACAAGTGTTGTTTTATGTATGCACCCTGTGTAATCAATAAATGTTTCAGTCTTCTTTTTTATTAATATTTTCTATGAGAAGAATTATTTTTAATATTTAAGCATTTTTCAATTTTTAAGTGTAGCTCCTTTTATGATTGTTGAATCTATTCTTAAAGAAGAACAGGCCACTGCTTAGTATGACATACCAGGTTGCCTCTTCCCACATACTGAGTTGTAAATGCTTGCATCAGCTCTAGCACACTGACAGATGAGTTTATTCCCAAAATATTACTTTATCTATTTTTCTCATTTGATTTTAAGTATTTGACTCTCTGGGATATTGAGTAGGGGTATAAAAAATCAATTGCTCTCTTTAAAACAGCTTTTCCAGACATTCTAAATTTTTTAGTTACTGGTCTAAGGAATGTTATTCTATCAGTGTTACTACCAAAAACACATTTATTTTAATCTTGTCTTTTTTGAATTACTATTTTGTCTTTTGGGAATACTTAGTATGGCTCACAATTTGCAAAGGAAATCTTAATATGGCTTGTGGTTGAAAGTTAGTGACTTGACTTCATTACATAATGGTTAGTTCCCATTTCATGTATCTTGAAGCAGCTGTTCAGAAAATAGATATTTGTACTCTTGAAACTTTCATTGAAGTAGCTTGAATAAAAATATATGAGGCTCCAGACTAAGGTAGAATATTGAGAATGGTATTTTTATACTGTGTTTTATATTGGAGAAAAGTCTTTTTGTTCAAATTCATTTGGAAGCTTAAACTATTTTCGCACTTATGTTGTACTTATCACATTTTAACCTGAATTAACATGGCACATTTTAAAATTTAATACTGATTTATCTGTGGTTTTTAACAAGGTTTCACATTAATTCAAACTTCCAGCTACATGAAAGTTTTGTTATTTTATATATTTTAAGGCTTCATCTTGATGTGGAACATGAATCCAACAAAACTTGCCAACATTTTAAAACAACTATCTTCTCTGACAATATATGCTTAACTTTTTTTCTCTTCCTACATGTGGGAAAAGGGGAAAGGAGAAGAAAAGATTTAAATACATGTAGTTTATTGTAGTCCCAGTTAAAAATAGCATTTGCCTGTAAGCGAGTATGTGGCATGTAGGTGACATTTTATCTATAATTTAAATGAAATAAAATGTGAAAAATACAAGTTGTTATTATTTGGATTTTTTCTTTACTATTGAAGCATCATTGTTAATATAAACAATCATCTCATTTCCAAAAGAAAAAAACTGATAATCCTAGATTTGAATACCCCTGTGTCCTCCGAATTCCCCAAATACTGATTGTTACTATTTTGGTCTGTTAGTAGGGAACAATACACTGCGAAGCTCCAAACGAGATCACATTCAATGAGCCCAACCTACAGAGAAGACGGACAAAATATTACCCCAAAGAGTTGTGTAAGATGAGATTCTATTTTTGTTTGTTTGTTTGTTTGCTGGTTTTAAAATGATTCCACAGATGTTTAGTTTTACATTGTGGGAGTTTCGACGATTACTTAAAAACATGGAATCAAGTCTGAAAGTTTTGGTGAATACCCTGATGTCAAAGAAGTGGTATATCTCGTCCATTCCCCAGTGTTCCTTCTGCTTTCTCAGTAATTTGGAGGCATCATGTTAATCAGCCTATTGTTTTTCTATGCATCGAAGAATAACTTTGGAAAGCTTGGTTTTTTAGTTATTTTTTCCTTTTCTATTTCACTGAGTATATGTCTAAAAATGATTAGACACCCAGTTGTCATAAACTTAACAAATTGGGATTAACTTGTAGTGAAATAGGGAACACTGCCTTTCTGATGAAGGTGAACTATTTATATCTTGACATATGAAGACCTTTCTTGCAGCTAATTGCTTGCCGTAGATTTGGATTGAACAAGGTGCCAACGAGCATTCTATTTACTTTGTAAAGAAAAAGACTTTGCCTGCCTACTAAGAAGGTCTTTCTAGCGGAAATCGGGCTTGTCCTTGGTTACAAGACTTTTAGTTACAGGGAGGTCATGAGTGATGTGTGACTGTTTTAGCACATATTGTTCTAAACATAACTCTTTGCATTTTCCCCAGTTAGCTTGGAACTTTGAAAATATTTAAATATAAAGGATAGAACATTTTAAATATTTGTGGGTTTATTATCAATCATTACGTTTACTCAAAATAAACAAGGCAGGCACTTTTACTTAAGATGTTCTTATTCACACACACAGAGAAAAAAACAAAAAATAGAGGACCAACAGTAGAAGCAATAATGAATTTTAATGTAGTATATATAATAAACATTTTGTTCAATTGAAAGTTGGAGACTTAATAAAATATGAAGCACGTTTTAGTGTAGTTTTCGTCACTTCAGATAATTTAAATTTAATTTAAATTTAAATTTCAGATAATTTAATCTATAGGTAAATAGATTTATTTGTTAGTAATGAGGTTTTCTAAATGTGTAAAAATGCTGTACCAACAAACTTAAATTCAAAGTATTTTTGGCTCTGCTGTAGACTATACATTATTATTTTACACAGTCTTTCCTAAGCTTTTAGAGCTTTCAGATCATTGTTCATTTTTGAGCACAGATCTTAGGTTGTCCGCAGTTTTATAATTTTAATCTGGTTTGATAAATGTGTAATATAATAAATTATATGGGAGGGGGAAAACATGGAATTTTAATTTTTTTTAAAGTAAAGAATCACCATAATTGTGTTTTCACGATGTGAACTCAAAGCTTCTTTCTCTTTATATTCAGTGTATGAATGAGAATTAATTTAAGAACAAAGAGCTTCTTGGACATCAACACAAACTTTCCTGTTAACTAATTTTAACGAGAGTAAATAATTCATCTTTTCAAGTGTTCCTCCACCCCCCTTTAAAGCTACTGTGGTATACCACAATTAAAACTTTTTGTAAAAGAACTTAAAGAGAAGAGTCTGGATTAATTTTTAAAATATTCTTTTGATGTTTTTTTTTTGAGATCTAGTTACTGTGTGAATATATTGTGAAGGCATCTCATAGCCCTAAGCAGTTATAATAAATAGTCATTACTTAGAATTGAGAACTAGCTCAGTTGTAACCTAATCCTTTCCTCTGAGGGCGATATAGCATTACCAAAAAAGCACACAAAACTGTCATTACTCTGAATGACATATATTTTGTCCATCTTTTCTTTTCCTTTCTTCCTTTCTTTTTTCTCTTTTCTCCCCCTTTTCTCACCTCTCCCCTCTCCCTATCCCTACCTCCCCTTCTTCCTTCTCTCTCTTTCCCCCTCCTTCCTTTTCTCTTTTATTTCTTCCCTCCTTCTTTCTTTACCCCATTCCTTCTTCCTTTTTCTCTTTTGTATTTCAGGAAGTTCATTTGAAAAAATCTTCTGTTTCTTTGGATGACAGCGACATTGAAGCCCGCCTTAATAGTTGGAATCTTGGGGTAAAAACAGTATTTGTTATATATACGTTATTGATGTGGCAGAATCATATTGTATTTGGAAAACATCTGAACTAACTTAATTCTATTCAGTGAATATTATTGGATGTCAGGCTGGGAAGGACTTTGAGTATAGGAAAGAAAAATAACATTCCAAAGAAGCATAAAACAGCCCCTGTCCTTGACAAGCTGACGTTGTTGGTGGTGAAATAAGAGATATACACATAATTAAATAATAATTTAAAATGATATATGATAAAATACCAAAATGAGTTAGATAGAAAATAGAATACTGTGGTGGAGGGGATGAGAAAGGAGGGAAAAGCTGGAGAAGCAAGGCCATTTGGGTTAAACAGACTTCATGGATGAGTCTCATGGACAGCAGTTTTCAGGTACAAAGGCTGGGGGGCATGCGTGTACTTGGATAGGTGGAGAGGAGGGAGCTAGGAATTCAAGGCAGAAATAGGCATGAAGAAAGGTGTGATGTAAGTCAGCTGTCAGGACTGGATCTTGGGGGTTTATGTCGGGGATTAGAGGGCAGAGTTATCAGGCTGATTCATATGGGAGCCTTAAACGCCAAAATGAGAAGTTTAGCTTTTAAATTTTAGGCAGTAGTGAGCCCTAGAGGTTCATTTTTTCCCCTCCACATTCCACTTCATATATATGCTGTTTAAATGCTTTGAAGGAATGAAAAGGGGTTTAACACAATGTTTATCACACTTTGTTATTATAAAAATAATTTGTAATTTGAATATTTGAAAAATCAAGAAAATCAGAGGAATAAACTATGTTTTAAAATTATAGTACTGAGAGTTGTGTTAACACTTGGTTATATGCATATTTCCCTCCTTTTTTTTCCTGTGTGTAGTTATAAAACTAAAAGTTAAACAAAATTGGGGTCATATTTAAATACTGATTTATCATGTGTTATTTTAAATTTGGTTTAAGTTTATTATAGTTCTATAAACATGAATATTAGTGGCAGTACTATTTTTTCTTTTGGAGGGATATTCTGTAACTTATTTAAGCATTCTGCTATTTTTGAACATTTAGATTGCTCCCAGTTTGTTGCTAAATTAATACTGCAATAGACTTTCTTAGGAGAGGTTTTTTATACATATTTGGTTGCTTTCTTAGATCCAGAAGGTGTATACCAATTTATTTTCCAACCAGCAGTGTGTAGGATTTATTTCTCACTTCTCACTGACATTAGGGATTGTTATTTTTAACAAACCTTTCCTACTAGTAATAGTCTTTAATGAAAGCAGTGCTTTAGGAAAATTGACTTGGTGGCATTATGAAAGTTATATTGGATGTGAGTAAAAATGGAGCAAGGGAACCAATCATCTTCTAGGGGTTTGTAGTGGCCTCCACATTGGTATGATTTCTGTGAAGATGCAAAGGGTAGAAAGGAAACACATTGCAAAGAATGAAGAATGCTTAGTGACCGATGGGAAGGCTGAACAGAAGGGCACCGAAAGGTTTGCTTCTAGGAAATGGGAATGTTGGCTCTCTGTCAGTGAATTGATTGTCCGATGGGGGAATCCACGTTAGGGGGTTGAAAGTTTTATTTTAGACTGGTGGAGCATGAAGAGATGCTAAGATTAATTGGGGAGTTCAAAATTGGGCGTTCATGAGACTCCAGGGCTGGAGTCCTGTTTCATAGTCACATGGCTGGAGGTGGTGGGTCCACCCAGAGACTGGGCCAGCTCGAGGCTTTCAGATAGTTCAGAGTGAGGGAGGGCTGGGTGGAGAGCATAAGCTGAGGACACCTGGCCTGGGCAATGGCCATGATTAGAAGGTGGGGAAATGGGAAGAATTCAAAGCAGTGTGAATCTCTTAGTCATTTTGGGCTTATGTCAGTGAAAGAGAAGAAATAGAATTGACCATGAGAGGAAAATGGTAAGTCAGAAGCAAAACATGTTCTTGTTTGAAGGTGTTGGGAGGTTGCCTAAGTTACCAGCGTAGGGGAAGAGCACAGGAAGTCCTTCAAAAAGACATTCTTTTTGGCAGAAAGCAGCATCAAAGTGAAAAACAGAATGCTGGGCTATCCTTTTAAACTTCCCTTAGTCATTTGAAACTTCTGATGTCTGTTTCCTAGCACATAGAGTACTTTTCACGACTGCTGAACTGTTCAGAGGATTAACATTTTTCATTTGTATAATAAAATAAAACCTCTAAAATATTTTGAGGTAATGCCTTAAAATGAAGCCTGCCTAGAGCTTTGTTTCCTATTTTTATTGTTCAAAGAATGCACTAACAGTGTAAAATATAATAGCATTTTTACATATTTATAACATATGCATTAATCAGGCTGAACTATATCTCTTGATCACAGTAGAATAATTGGAACATCCAGTGTATTGATCACAGTAGAATAATTGAAGTATCCAGTGTATTAAAAAAGCTTAGATTTTGCTTTGATTTTAGTTTGTATGCAAATGTACCATGGACCTTTTTTTCTTCCTCTGAATGATCAGTTAATAGCTAGTTAATTTTTGTGCTCTATACTAAGGGTACATTTTTTATATGGCTAGTGTGTCTGTCAGCACCTTCATTCAGATGCATTAGATGATCTGGAATTTGAATTTTATAACTTTTGTTGAAAAGTACATTCTCCCCCACCCCCCCAAATATTTCCTTTCTTTTTTCTGGAATGTGTTCATATTTTTTCTAAAAATACATAATTCAAGTAGAGATTTACTTACCAAACCTATCAATTAAATTTTCCCCCTGTATTTTTTTTTCTTACTCTTTAACCATTTTAACCTTTAGTTTTGGGGATGCTTTCTTGCTTGGTTAATATATTATATATATTTCATGCATAACTCTATATAAATCTTTTTTCCTTTTTTTCTGAGGATGGGGTGAGGGGCCAGGGGAAAGCCTTTCTTGGGCCTTCCATCCGGGCCACCTGTCAGCTCCCACCCTGGGCCCACGTGCTGACTGCAGAGCCTCACCCCCACCAGCAGCAAATAACAGTGAGGAATCTGAGTAGACCCCTTAGGTCCCTGGAAGCAGAGCCTGAAAGAACAGGATCCGGGTGTGGGGGATTTGTGTGGGGAGAGCTCTCAGGAAGGGACTTGGGGCGAAGGAGTGGGGGGCGTCAGCAGCAGTGGGTCTTCTCCTGCTCCCCTGGGGAGCTCCAGAGGGTGGACAGCACCCCAGAGTCAGAGGGCCCCGCCTGGAAGTCAGGACCCCCCAGGGAGGTCAGGACCCAGGTAATCTCCCCACTGAAGGCAAGAGGGCACCTGCAAGCCATTAGCAGCTGAGGCCGCTCCTTTGCTCTCCCTGGAGGACTGTGGGAAGCCTGGCTGTTTACTCACCTGGTCCTCTCCTTGTGGCCTCCTGAGAGCTGCGCTCACCTGTCACCCAGGGGCAGCTGTCACTCTAGTGCAGCAGACACATGAGGAAGCTCAGGTGAGACAAGCTGTTCCAGCAGATGAGCTGCCCAATCCGCGGGCCCATAGAAATGTGAGCTAAACCAAATGGTTGGAGTTGGAAGCTGTGCCGATTTGGGGTGATTGGTAATGCAGCAGAAAGCTAACTGATGCAGGAGGTACTGCCAAAGTGATTGTGCCAATTTGCATCCTCATTAGCAGTGTGTGCCAGTTCCTGTTCCTCCACTTTCTCTTCAATACTTGGTATTCTCATTTAATTGTTTTTAATTTAAAAATGTAGCCATTAAAATGCACCTAAGCCATGAAAAAAACCCCAAAACTAGCCATTTCTGAGAGTGGTTAGTGACTTTGCTTTTATAACATGTATTTTCCTGATGACTAATAAAGTTACCTGCTTTTACATATGCTTATTGACAGTTTGGATAGCCTCTCAGAGTGCAGAGCTACTTAAGGTTTTGCCAATAGCCCTGTTGGGTTGTCAGCCTTTTTCTTATTGGTATGTAAGAGCTTTGTATCTATTCTGGTTAAGTGTCCTTTTGGAATATATTGGGCTGTCGAAAAGTCATGACGTATTTTTCCTGTTTTTCGTTGCAAAAATGTGTCATGACTTTTCTGACAACCCAATAGTAGTATAAATATTTTCTTCCACTTTGTTGCTTTCCCTCATTCTCTTTTTGATGTCTTTGATGAACAGAAATTAAAAATTTTAATACATTCATTTTCTCATTTTTTTCACTTTTATTTAGTGCTATTTTTGTGTCCTGTTTTAAGACTTTGACTAAGGCCCTAAAGATGTTCTCCTGGTTTTTATTTTTTTTCTAGGAGCTCTATTATTTTACTTTTTCTACTTAGATCCATATACCATTTGGAGGTGGTGTTGGTATATTGGTAGATTTGTTTTTGTCCCATATACTCGTATATCCAGGTGGCACTCGGTTTATTGAAAGTACTGTTCTTTTCCTGCTGCAGTGCATTTTTATTTGTCTCATAAACCAGGTGACATTACCGGTTTGTTTCCATTCTGTTCCTTTGGCTTATTTGCTTATCCTTGTGCAGTGGACTTTGTCTTTTATTTTTGTGTTTTATTTGTGCTCATTAAATGTTTGTTGAAATGTTGTGAATAAACCAGTGAATGAGGCTCTATTTGTAGTATTATTTCTATGGAAAAACATTTTTCAAGTTTTAAAATATTGACTTTAAAATGTTATTTTGGAGCATAATTGATTTAACCTTGAGGACTGAACTTATTTTATGCTATAGAGAAAGTTTTGGCAGTTTCTCTGATGCTATGACTTAAAAATATTTAGTTGTGTTGCTAGTAATATATTGCTTAATCACATCCTTTCCCGAAAGACAGCTAAAATATCAGATAAAATGTCTTTCTATTTTTCTGGAACCACAGACCATCTCTGTTTGATCAACATTAGTCTATAAGAGGGTATTTGATGAGTCTGAACAAATCCTGAATAATTTGAAGAAACGAACTGACAGAACTCTTTGTAACCAAACAAACAAATCTGCTAAAGAACTAAACAAAATAAAATGTCAAAAGCCAGTTTTCATTAGAGAGCATTCAGATGTCTGTATTTATGTCTAGTTTAAATTATTATATATTTTATTATGATGATTCTATTTGCTTCTTACACAGTAAATGTTCAGTCATGTGATTTATTCATGCTATTGGAACTTAATTATTCTTGGCTTTGCTTTCTGTATAATATTTTGTTAGACTTTAATGTTTTACATAAGTCCTTTTTATCTTCCATTTTGGACATTCTTTATTGTGGTATTCTTTTCTGAGGTATTATGAGAGAACAAGAAGTTCTCTAAAAGAGGCATGAAAAAAGTAAATGTTAAGACTGTTTACAGATTGCTTCAAGTCCATGTTACTTGTGGATTACAAAGTGGGAACATTTAACTTCAAAGCACATCTGGCTGTTGTTATGAAATCAGAAAATAGATTGCTTATTTCCCCCAAGTAGACTCAAGAACATGCTTTACTATGAATAATTTTCATTACATATTAAAAGTGGTTACGAGACAAAGGCAATATATGAATAACTCAATAAGTGAATAACAACAGAAGATTTATACTTGTTTATAGTGTTCATTGTTGCTTTTAAATATTAGAATAGACCCTTTTTTGGGGGGGCTACTTGAGAAAGGACATTTGTGATAACAGAATGAGTCCCGTATTTAATGGCTTTTAAAGATGAAGAGGATGAAAGAGGAGTTACTTCTGCATAGTCAAAAGGCTACATTGTAATTAACTAAACCAATATTTTGTACCCTGTTTATAAATGTAGAGCTGGGTAAAAATAAGACACAAATGGCTTTCTTGGCTTTTGGTTTTAAATTTTAAGCTTAATTAGAGCTCGAGCATCTTTGAGAATTCCGTTTTCCTCTCTCTTTATTTTCCCCCTTATGTTTAATTTTGCTTTATGAATTAGGGTTTTCTGTATTTTCAGATGTGCATGTATCTATCTTTGAAGAACTAACTTTCTATGCTGGTTTGCTCCATTCCAAAAATAGAGAATGGTTATTTACTTTTTATATATATATGCCTTCAGACAATAAATATTTGTTGAGTGCACTTTGTTGCCTGCTGGAAATTTGCCGCCTCTATTTTTCAAAAAGCTGTGTATCTATAGTACAGTATTATTTGCTAAAAAACATGCTTCTTTCTATGGTGAGATATTTAAGTGGATTTTGTTATTATTATTAATAAGTATTTCCCATAGTAAATATACTAATTCATATACCCACCAGCTTTGCTCCACATCTGGAACAATTTTATTGTCAAATTTTTAATGTATGCCAATCTGATGGCTGTAAAATGTCATCTCGTTATGGTATTACTTTACATTTTGCTTATTTCTAAGCAGATTAAGCATATTTTCTTATGTTTATTAGAAATTCAAATTTCTTTATCAGTGAGATGTGTCTCAAGTTTTTCCCATATTTTTTGAATGGGTTGTTGTTGGGTTTTGTTTATTTTTATTTTTAAAGGCCATTTTTACACATTGTAGAGACTAATAATTTATGCAAACATCTCCCAATTTATGGCTTTTCTTTTCAGATTATTTATGGTATCTTTTTTTGGAGAGAAGTTCTTAAAGTGCTCAAATTTATTAATTTCTTTTTGTTTATGCTTTTTTTGTTTCTTGTTGAAGAAATGTTCTCTACTCCGAGGCCATAAAGCCATTCTTCTAAATTGTCTTCTGAAAGTTTATACAGTTCTGCTTTTAATTATAAGTATTTAATCCATTGGGAATTTATTACATTTGGTGAAAGGAAGGGATCTGATCTTATTTTCCTCCACGTATTGAACACGTCCTTATTTTCTCAATAATTTGCAATGCTAGTTCTTTCATGAATCATGTATATTTGAGTTTCTGGTACTTTCTAGCTGGTTCCATTGACTTATCTTCATTACTATAGTTTTATGTCTCTGTTAGTCCTACCCCACCTTGATTTTTTTCTCAGAAATAATTTATTTATTTATATACATTTTATAATGAACTTGGTTTTCCAAAAACCCTGTTGAGATTTTGGTTTGGGTAAATTTAGCCAGGGAATTGACATTTTTACAATATTGAGACTATCGAAAAACATGGTTTCACTCTATTTAAGTCTGAATGTCTTTCAAAAGAGCTTAAGTATTTTATGCATAAAGGGCTATGTATATTTTCTTAGGTTTACTTTTAGGAATTATTATAATATGTATATATATAATTATATATTACGTATTTAGAAATTATATATATCTTTATAAAATCATCTTTTTTTGTAGATGATTTTTGTAATTTACAGAAATACAGTTTACTTTTACACATTGATTATCACATTGATTTTACACATTGGTTATCTGGCAACATTGCCAAGCTCTTATTTGGGCAGCTCCTGTTTAGCATCTTTCTATTTTTTTTGGTCATATTTGTAGTGTTCTTTATAAACTTCCTGAAATTATTTAAAAGTTGTATTTGAATACTTAATGTCCTAGAGGTGGTAGACTATAAATACCCTCAAATATTGACCTGCAGAGAGGCCTCCAATGAGCGGGTTGCAGAAAAAACCTGGTGCATCAGAGTCCTGGAGAGAGTGGAGTCAGAAGGTAGACTGTGCTACTGTTTTCTTCTATTCATGGCCTTTAAAAAAAGTGTTTCCGCCTGCTGACAGGTGTTGATTTTGTATTTTTTATAGTAAATTTTTATGGATTCTTTTTTTTGTTCATGATGAATTATTGCTAGATTTTTCTGAACAAGCAGTAGCCAGTGCCCGTAGGGGAGGGTGGTTTGGGGAGCTTCCTTGGTTTCTTAGTTCCAGAGGCCCTCGTCTCTTGCTCTGTTGAAGTTCAGATTCTTTAATAATTGGTGCCTTTCGTGGTTGTCATTTTGGCCTCTCCTCTTCAGATTCTTTGATTCTCTCTTGTTTCTGTCAGACCCTATTCTTCATTTCCTTTTTTCTTTCCCTTCATCATGGACAACCTTCCTTCCAAGGGGCCTGTCTCTGCCACAGAAGTGGTTCCTTCCTAAGACTGCTTTCTCTGCTTCTGCACACTTAACCACGCCCTTCTTTTGACTTGACTGCCTCTAGCACTTTGATCCATCAGGTTTTCCCACCTACTTAAGGTAGACCCCCCTCCTTCTACAGGTCATTGTTTGATGACACTCAAGTTCTACCACCAAGAGGACCCTGAAGCAGTAGGGTCCTTTTTTCCCTGTGCTGTCACTCTGTTTTGTTTTAGGAGCTAATTCTGCAGATGTGTGATCTTTCTTTGGCCACTTAGGTGTTACTGGAGGGTTTCAGTAATTTTTTTCCCCTTGTTACAAAGTAGGCATGGGGATGGATATGTTTCTTTGCTCTCTTTGTTGATTTGTGTGGGTTTTGAAGGATGGGAAGACAAATTTAAATTCAGGCAGCTGCCATTACTTTATGGGGACCAGTCTCCAGGGGAAAGAAAATTATTTTGTAAACTTCTCCTACTCTAGGTGCTAAAACACTCTTCAGAATCTATGTGTTGCTATAGAGGGTTTTAATTTTTTTAAACTTGAATAAGTTCTATTTTTAATTGGATTTCCTCTAGTTCTTTGATTGATTGATTCTTTATTCATCTTAACTTTATTGAAAAATTGGGTTTGGATTGTTTATCTTCCATAATTATTAACTCTAATAAATCTTTGAGGAGCTTTTTGAAAACACAGTGGGGTTTTGGAGGAGTGGAGCCCAACAATGTATATTTGAAAAAGTTTGTCAGTTGATTCTATGGTATACTTCAGGGTATGAACCACTATCCTATGTTGGAGTTATGGTTAGTGTTATACTTATATTCTTGTATATTTTGAGATTATCCATGTAGTAAATTGTGAGTTTAGTATGTGGAGAGATTAGAATGCCATGATAATTAGTTTTAATTATCATATCATCTGTGAATGAAATAGCTGAGATAACAATCAGTGTTTCTAATTTATTATATAGCATATTAATTCAGTACATATTTTGTTGAAAGGCTACTATGTGTTAGGTATGTGCTAGGTACCAGGAATACAAAATTGAGAAGTCCTTGTCCTTACACTCATTGTTGCTTAAAGACAGATGTGGAGACATACTGATACACACTTAAAATGTAAGAGCTATGAGAGACACACAGGCTACTTTAGGAGCTGATAAGAGGGTGTGAGGTTTTTTCCCTTTCTCCTTCCCTCCCTCCCTCCCTCCCTTCCTGCCTAATGGATATTTCTTGGGCACCCACTACCTGCCAGGTCCTGCTGTGGATGCTAGGAGATAAATGGGTTACAACACAGTCATAGTTTGTTTTCAGAGTCCTTACTCTTTTGCAGAAGATATATGTTAGAACATAAGAGGGAATGAATCCCCAGTATACTACCGGAGTAGTAGGAACTTAACTAAATTTCCTGGGGAGATGATTCCTGAACTGAGAGGCTTGAATAAGTTAACCACATGAAGAAGTTGGGAGAATGATGCAGGTTGCAAAGACTCAGATAAAGGAGAGTGTCATGCTTTCAAGGTTTACCAAGTTGTTGGGTGTCCTTGAAATATGGGGCATGTTGCGGGATAGTTGAGCCTGAGAGATAAATACAGGAGAAGTTCCAAAGGAATTTTGTATTCTAGTTGCTACTGTAGAGGTAACTTTAAGGATTTATATATCAAATCTGTCAAGGGGTACAGTAATTAAAGTGAGACTTGAAAGATGAATGGCTGTGTGCTTCTGGGGCATGGAGGGTGGATGCTAAAGCATAGAGATAGAGAGGCAGAAGAAGACCTGTCATACCCTGGTGACATACGTCATTCTGGGAGTGCAAATGTGAGGTCAGGAATAATGGAGATGAGACTGGGCAGTTAGGCTGGGAGAGGATCATGAAGGCGCGTTTGTGTATGCAAAGGAGTTTAGGACTTATATTTCATTTGTTAGAAGGCCACTAAAATGTATTATGCGATACCTATTTAAAGGAAAATAAATATGAAGGTGTATAGAAAACATTTTCATATAGCAGCTTAATTCTGTATTTTATCAAATAATAATTAAAAGTCAAACATTAATAAGACCTCATTTTATTTTTAAATTTCCAGATAGAAAATCCTCGGTACCTGAGACAAAAGCCTATTCCAGTTTCCCTGGTAGGTAAGAATTCCACTGGACTTTTCCTATGGACAGATGTTTTTAAATAAAATAATCATTAAGCTATTTACAGAAAGTAATGCAGCTCCACATTACGAAGCCTGATAGTCTTATTAATCCTATCACTTGGAAGTGAATAAATCATTTTTTTTCCTCCAATGTTGGTATTATTTTGGCCTGAACTTCAGGCAGTTTAGAAGTTTACTTTTGGGTTAAGGATAAACCAAACTGGGCCTGAGAAAGTGTTGAATAACTCTTCCTCCTTCAACAGATGACTCCGAAATTCAGCCTGAGAAAATCCAGCAGTCTCCATGAGGATCACTTACTCTCTCGAATGCATGAGAAAGAGGTAGGGTTTGAGATATTTCTGATGGATCTAATTATTAACACTATTTTGATATTTGGTGTAATCTGAGTTTTCAGGTCCTAGTTAGAATGATGATGCATGGGGGGAAGAGCTTGTCTTACTACAAATGTAAAGTGATGATGCAGGGTAGGCAGGGTTTCTTTCTAGTTTTTTAATGCTCGTCTTCTATGTTGTGTGTCCCAGCTTTCGGCCAGCTGCACAGGGTGTGCTGAGAGACTATCTCCTCACTTCCTATCAATTCGTTATTATCAGGGGCTGGGGAAATGGCAGTTTTTAGAAGCAGTATCTTGGACCTCAGTGAATTCTTCTGTCCTCCCTTTATCTCAGCTAACTTGTTATGTATCTTTTTAGTTTCACTATTCTTACTATTTTCATTATTTGATCTGCTAAATTAAGCTATGCTATAGCTGATATATGAATTAATGTACTGGCTTTCTTTGGTCATTTGAAAGTAGAGTTATTAAAGAGGCACTATTGTTTATTGGTTAAGCATAGGCTTTGGAGTCGAGAATACATGGATTGAAATCCTATTTATTAGCCGTGTGAAAATAGGCAGGTCCTTTTCCTCTCTGAGCCTATTTCTCTATATATATCTAACGAGAGAGACATCTGCTTTACAGCACTAATAAAGAGATTATGTGGCCTGTAAGTGCCTATGTGCTTCACATAGAGTAGTCATTGAACAAAGGCTAATTTGCTGTATTTTCTTTCTTAAAAATTTTAATTCTGGGAAATTGAAAAGTCATTATTATCATTTTTATTTTTGCTTATGATGCCAATGAAACACTTTGATCATCTGTGTGGTATGACAGAACATTATTAGAATAGGAACCTGAAAAACTGTCCTTAACCTGCCTTTACCATTCTCTAGTCATATGACCCAGGGAAGTTAAGAATATTAGTTTAGTTTTTGTTTAAAGAGAGGATAATTATTGATCTCACAGGGTTGTGACCCAAATCAAATGAAAATAATGAATGTAGTTGTAACTTGTAAATTGTAATACACCCTTTAAATGTGCAAATGTGAAACATGTTATTGGACTTAGATTAATGTTTCTAATAAATTTATTTAAATAATTCTGTCTTTCATTTTTTTCTTTCACGTTAATGAAGATGCTTCTAAGAATTTCTAAAATATAATTTCACTTTGGTTATTTTTCAACATAATGGTTTTCTTGCCATCCTATTATTTATAAAATATCACAAAAGACATTGATATTTTTCCTTAGATATTCCAAACAATATCATGAGCATAGACATTTATTTTTGTTGATAAAGGAGGAGGAGGGCTATTTTTTCTTTGAAATTTCCATCTGGTAGAATTATTGCTGCTGATCTCAGTGATGTTCTATCTGTCGTTTCGTAGCTCCAATTTAAGGCATCCAACATTTTTTTTTCCTTCGTGCAGTAGTGCAGCAATCTTAGTGTTAAAAAAAATGTTGAAATAAAAAGAAATTGGGTTTTAAAAACCTTTCTTGACGATAATACTTACTGTTTTGAGGCTAATACTTGTTATATTCAGATGCACCTTCCTTTGAGCTCTTATGATGAGCAGCTTTCTTTTTAAAAACTGTCATTATTTTTACAGGTCATTCTAAGTTTTATCCAACCATTTTTTCTTTTACTTTTATTTTGTGTTATTTCTTACTGTTGAGGCTGCTTACCATAGAGTAATTGAAGTAATTGAAAGGAAGTGGTGACTTTTGGAAATTTTTTTGGCCATTCATGAAATGAGATCTTTATGATGACAACTTAGGTGAGGAATAAACAAACCAATGCTACCCACATATGTGTTGAAAGAAAAATATTTACAGTTATCATGTATTGCATCAGAGATTCATTTTTAAATGTGTGTGGCTTTATTTTTCCACACTCTCATGTTTTTGTTTTTCTTTTTGGCATGCTGTAAAAATATTTTGGCATCATTGAGAAGTTTGCATGTAAACATCAACTTACTCCATATCTTAAAATATATTCAGTGTATATTTTGGCTAAAATAACCCTTTGTGCAATTACATAGTCATATCTGACTTTTTTTGAAAAAATTTTTTCTTCATCCTAAAATATTTGAAAGTATATGATGAATTGCCCCAATGTGAGCACTACCTTTGTTTCATCTTTCTTTTAAAGCAGTATTTGTGATTATAAAATAGTTTATGTGGATTTCAATTGAAGAAATTTTGGAAATTATAGACATATGTAAAGCAGGAAATAAAATCACCTATAAAAATCAAAACATAGAAATAAAAACAGTGGTAAAATGTCATTGTATTTTAGTCTTTTCATTGTGTCCTAGCAACATATTTCCCTTAGAAAATTGAGATGATACCTTATATATTGTTTTGTATAGCTTGGGTATTTTTCATGCTATTAAATATTGTTCCTAAGTATCTATTTTTAATGGCTATGTTATGTTTCATATTATGGAGGTATCCCCAGTTAATTTAACTTAATCCCTATTGTTTGGTATTGAGATTGCTTATAATTTCACTAACATAAATAATTCTGAGAAGAATATCTTTATAGCTCTATCTTTATATGTCTCTCTAAATATTTCTTAGGGATAATGAATTATATCTTACCAGAAAAAATGGAAAGAGTGGATTTTTATAAGTTTAGTATCATAAACAATTTAACTTGTAGAATAAAAACTAATACTCGGAAGCCTATTGAAAATTGTATGTTACTAGAAGGTACACATTAAGAATTTATTATGTGCAAAAATAAGAATGAAAATAAAAAGGCAAAGGTGATCAAGAGCCATTTAAAGGCAGAGGCAAGTCGCAGGTTAGGTTGCTTTTGAAAATACAGAAATACTGATTATATTTTAATACAGAACAAGTATTTTTCTTAAAAATTTTTTAGTTTTAGGACAAAATTTTAAAATATCTTCATTTTTATATATTAAATACTAATTATATTGTTTTGTTATTTTTGTCTCTTTTCCAGAGATATTTTTCTAACTTGGATTTTTTTCCCTAAATTTAAATGCATAATTATTTTGTGATCTGCAGAGTTATCCTTTAGCAGGATAATCTTATGTCGACTTGCTTACGTCACTTTTACTAAACATTTACTTTTGGACATGAGGTTAAATGCTTTTCTGTTTTGAAATTTAGTAGAATCTTGTCTACATAAGACAACTCTGATGTGTCTTGTGCATGTTGTCATTTAAAAACACTTTTGTGGTTGCTAGGTGGTGTTTTAAAAATAATAAATAGCATTATTTCAAGTGAATTAACTTTATTTAAATTGAAATGTTGAATATTAAATATTTAACCTCCATTTTCTCAACACCTAATCTTTATTCTTCAGAGGTAATCATTGCTAAAAATTTAATGTGTATTCTCTTTAAAAATTTTTAGGAGTATCTCATTTTTTAAATAAAATGAGACCATAGTTCATACTCTATATACTGTTTGATTTTTTGATTTAAATATATACTCTGATGATTTTTCTAGAGTAGAAATATGGCTTCATTCTTTTAAGTAGTTGCTTTGTATTTCATTTTATTGATGCACACATTTTATTAACATAGTTTCCTATTGAAGGATATAGGTTATGTACAGTATTTTGCTATAACAAAGTGTTTCAACAACATCCCCGCGTATATCTTTGTGTATTGTGTGTTTATTCTTATATGTTAAATTCTGTGACATAGAACTGCATGTCACAAGTCTGCACATTTAAATTTTCGATTGATATTGACAGATTGCCCTTAAAATAAGGTGATGTTTGCCTAGGACTGCAGGCATGTGGGAGAGAACGGGGAGGGATGGGTAATGAATGGTACGGGAGTTCCTTTTTGGAGTGATGAAAATGTTCTAAAATTAAATTGTGTGATGGTTGCATAATTCTCTGATTTACTAAAAGCCATCGAACTGTATACTCTAAATGGGTGAATATTATGGTATGCGAATTATCTATATCTCATTAAATCTATTAAAAAGGTTATGTCTATTTGTACTTGGCACCAATAGTGTATGAGAAAGTCTGTTTTCCCATTTCATCAACACTGAATTATAACATATTTGATTATCTGAGAGAAGAAAAATAGTATCTTGTTTTGATATTTACATTTCTTTTATTATGAGTTCAAATGCACATATTTTTGTCTGTTTATTGTTGTTTTACTTTCACTTTGTGAGCTGTCTTATAGTTTTCCATATTTCCATCATCTTTATTGTGATCCCAAGAGCAATTTATATGTTAAGGAATTCCTGTCTTTGTCATATATCTTGTAAGTATTTTTCTCTATATGTCATTTGATTTATTTCTGGTTTTTTTTGTGTTCTTTTTTAAATGTATAGAAGTTTTCTTTTAAATAGTTGGAGTTATTAATCTTTTCTCTGTGGCTTCTGGTTTTTGTATCTTACTTAGAAAAGTCTTTGTTATTCCAAGATTATTAAAAAAATTAACTCAAAGTTTTCTCTTTTAAAACCTTACTTTTATATTTAAATTTCAGATTCATTTCAGAGAGTTGCTGTGAGTAGTGATGGTAATCTAGGTTACTCAATTCTTAATGTTATAAAATAAAAATAAATAAGAATTTTGGAGGTTGAAATGCTTAATTAAGTTAAAGAATGCAAGATGTGTGGAGAGAACTGAGTGATAAGAAATTTTATGCAGATTACAGTCATCTGTATTGAAACAGTAAAGGATTTAAATTCTGTTGAAATTTTAGAGTCCTAAAATATTTAATTAACCATTAGAAATCAAACTTTATCAAACACAACTTCCATTTTAAATTTATAATTGTGTGGAAAATATGTAGATGTTAAATGAATAATATTGGCAGTATTATTTTATGAGAGTTAAAGCATTATAGTAGTTTTATTTTGGAAGCCAGAAATACATCTATAAAATATTTTAAGATGTTCTTTAAACCTTGTTTATTTTGGGCTTTGTGGGAAAACATATGTTCAGTGACAGTGATCCTTTATTTTAACTTCAGCCTATCATTCACAAACGTACTTGGACTT